TTATCTTTTTTGAACAGTGACATCTCCACAGCTTTTGCACCTCTTGGTCGCTCTTGGCATACCATGACGCCCACGTCAGATCACACGCTGTTCGTGTACGGAGGTTTTGGCACAAATGGAGATACTTTAAGTAAGTCTAAGAACCCAGAATAAGCACCGATCTGCTATGGGATGAGACAAAATACTACAAGAATGAAAGTAATTATAAAGAGGCAGAAAATGAAGTGATTTTTTTGTGGTCCAATTTCCAAAAAAACTCCCAAATATTTAAGCAAATCCCCCCCCTTGTTTTGCCTGATGCCATTTATAAAACAGATAACCATTCTGATTGCATATAATGATAATCATTCTTTTGGTTCAAGGAAGTGAATGGTTTGTGAAAGTGAAGCTTCGTTATTTTATCATGAGCCTCTTTCTTTTAGATGACGCCTGGCAGTTTAACACACAAACAAGAGAGTGGACCAAGATGATACACCCCCACAAAGACAAGCCCAGGTAATTAAAATCATTTTGTAAATGTTAAAATTAAGTGTTTCAGCTTCATAGTTTTATCATAATTTGTTCTCACAGAAATGTCTATTTTATCCATAAAATCTTGTTATTTATTCCCCAGAACTCTTCAAAATGCACAACATTTAAGCCTTTCTGCAGTAAACCTTTATTTACTTGTCAGAGTTTTCCATACGGCGTGCCCGGGGAGGGATAGTGACGTTGTGGTGTTTGGGGGAAGCAGGAACCTCCGCATCGTCATGGATTCGGTATGTGATTAACATCGGTCATATTGTTTTGTTACACTGTAAGGTTTTACTGAATAAATCCATTGTGGTATAATCCTTTCCCGTTGCAGACATTATCAAAGGGCTGCTGCATTAAACAGCAACTTTCCTTAAATACTTTTAAACCCCATTACTCTTAAGGTAATTTGTTGAGTCAACCAATTACAGCGTCGTCTTTAACCAGGAGTGTTACATAAATGAAGCATAAGTAGTTTAAGGGCTCAAAGTATTAAATGCACCTGCAATGTGTTGCAGAGTCATGTGAAAAATAACCTCTTTCAGTTCTAAGGTTTTACATATCAAGGCAACAGAAACAGTAATTTGTTCCTTAACGGGTCTTAAAATGAGGTAAATGAGCCTCAGATGAACCACAACAACATGGCACTTTACAAATTGCCATTATTTATTTAACAAATACTAAACCAAATCTGTTTATCAGATCATCAGCAAGTGTGGAGAGCTCTATTAAAAACATACATTTTGGCAGTTTGCTGGTCTGGAGCCTCCAGCTATGTGTTAGCACAGTGTAAAGGAGGAGAGACACCAGCAATGATCTCAGAGAAGCCATTATTGCTGCTAATTGATCTGGGAAGGGTTGTTGGGTCATTTCCATTTTATTTGAAGTCCATCATTCTACAGTCAGACAGTTTATTTACGAGAGGGAAGCTGACGATGTCTCCCAATGTGTTTCCCTCAAGTTCAGATCATGCAATGCTCAAAGAAACTGCAAAAAAAACCCCAAACAACAACTCTAAAAGCCACATCTCAGACTCAGATGTAGAACGTTTAGCATTATGCTTCGTTCACAAACAGAAAACTAACTCAAATAAGATGACTGGGATCACTGGTGCTGATGTTGCACAGAAAAAATGAACCTAGGACCGTTGGTGGGAGAGAAATCATGAGCTTTAAAGACGGGAAAAAAAGCATTTTGACATTTCATTCGTAATGTTCAATGTAGCAGTACTTTAGAAAATGTCAGGGATTTGAAGAAAGCCTTTATGATTTATTATCTGCAAGAAGTCCGTGCAAACGTTGATATGACGGTACAGTAGGACATACAGTGTTCACTGAGTGTGGCAACCATAAACTCTGATTCAATTTTCGTGCCCAAAAACGTTCAAGTAGGGGAAAAAAAGTATAATGATTCTTTCATGTATCATCCATCCTCATGGGATTATTTTGAATCCTGTCATCAGATGGTTATTTTGAGGCTTCCATCACCACATCACTGCAGAGACGTACTCATCTTTCAGACTCAACCTTACTCCCTCTCCAGGTATGACTAACTAAAATTTTAGGATTCGTTTAACAAAGATGCAGCGTGGGTTTCATACTTTCTGTTGTGTTAATGATTTCATACTTAACACATGTATTTCTTGTCATCACTGAAACCTCCATTCACAATCTCCATTTACACAGAATTAATCAGTTTTAATAAAGTCTGTAAACACAGCTATGCAACTCCTTGTAGTTGTGCTGCCTCACATGCAGCAAGGCGTTAGATTAATAAGCTTTATCTTGGTATTATACGAACACAGGTCACTTTATTAGGTACACATGTTTAACGGCTTATTAACACAAATATCTAGTCGTCTGGTTACATGGCAGAAACTCAGCTCGTGACCAAGACAACCTGCTAAACTTCAAACTGAGCTGAGTATTTTAGAAACTGCTGATCTTCTAGGATTTTCCTGCACAACCATCTGTAGTTTTTAGAGAGAATTCTCTGAAAAATACAAAACATCCCGTGAGCAGCAGGAATAGAGATGCTTTCAGCACTTTGTCTGTATCATAAATAATTAAGGCAGTTTTCAAGGCAAAAGAGGGCCCCAAGCTGGTACTAGCAAGGTCTACCTCATAAAGTGGTGGTGAGAGTGTAGGTGACAGAAAACGTAATGGTTCCCTTGAATAAATAAAACTGCACGCTGAGGTATTTTCCTGTGTTCTGCTCTTCTTCAGGTTATGTGAGGATGTCATTGGACGAAACTCAGAGCTGCTCAGGTTGCAGCTCAGCCGGCTGCCATCGAAGCTACAGAGGACACTTGAGAAGAGAATGAGCTTTTTTTCTGCTAGCTCTTAAAACTTAGAGAGGACTATGTTTAGACTAGAC